CATTGTAATTCCTAGCAACGATCCCTTTCCAAAATTATGCTAATGAATTTTTATTCGAGGACGGCGAAGGTTTTCTGTTTTGTGACGCAATTTTGAGGGCTTCCTTAAAGCTTCCTTAGTCGCAATGTAAACCAAACGGGGCTTCTTACGGAGAGGAGCTGTCAAAGGAACAACAATACAGCCCTTATTCTTCAGATCCGAAATATATGAAAAGATGCCCATCTTGGCAACACGACGAGCCGTTCTTCCGCATCTTCCACCCCTCGCAACTCCCTCCACCCCCACCAGCCGTGCTCCAGCGTGCTCTCAGAATACAGCTATTTACCACCATCTCATCTCGCTCTCGCTATCACTCTTAGCGCAAAGATTATTAATTAAAAACCCAAAAACTTGGGTAAAGAGACTCCGGGCAAGTCACCATCCTCTTGCCAAAAACCTCCAAAAGCTCTTCTTCGTTCCCCTCTCCGGGGGAAAAAAAATATCACTTTACGAGAGTGGTGGGGAGACTCTCAGACTCCGAGGAGAGAGGAGGACAGGAGTGAAGTCTGATGGCCAACCACAACGTTCAAATGCGCGAGAAGTGACGTTGACGTAGATTTGCAGTCATAATAACGCATAGACGAGGAAGCGACATTTTAATTAATAATCTTTGCGCTAAGAGTGATAGCGAGAGCGAGATGAGATGGTGGTAAATAGCTGTATTCTGAGAGCACGCTGGAGCACGGCTGGTGGGGGTGGAGGGAGTTGCGAGGGGTGGAAGATGCGGAAGAACGGCTCGTCGTGTTGCCAAGATGGGCATCTTTTCATATATTTCGGATCTGAAGAATAAGGGCTGTATTGTTGTTCCTTTGACAGCTCCTCTCCGTAAGAAGCCCCGTTTGGTTTACATTGCGACTAAGGAAGCTTTAAGGAAGCCCTCAAAATTGCGTCACAAAACAGAAAACCTTCGCCGTCCTCGAATAAAAATTCATTAGCATAATTTTGGAAAGGGATCGTTGCTAGGAATTACAATGATTTGTCGTACAAAAAGTGCAATATTTTGCAGAAAAACGTCCATGATTTTGAGAAACTTTAAAGGAGGTGTGAACCTAACCTATACACATTATGTAAAAAGACGGCATAAAAATTACTTCAATGTAAAAATGTATAAAACTCGCAAAATATTTTTCTCGTGATATTAGTAATTGTTGCTATTTTCCATATCTTACTCTATACTTTAAAATCAGAAGAGTAACGCGTGATGCATAACGCTTAAGAAGTTTTTTTCAGCGAGATCAACCAAAAGGACTTAGTGTATCGACCGAACCTTCGGTTAAGTCAACCGAAACCGTAGGTTACTCTGAAACGTCTGGATGAAGAAAGTGTCCTCCTAAACTATTCTACTCTTGTTGCTTACTCTCGAGGTCCCTCAGCGATTACGACTTGCGAGTTGCAAGCGCATTGGACTGTCACCAATTTGATCCATGATCATTGATCAATCCCGACGGCTCGCGTCTGAATTTTCAGTCAAGGTTACAAATTTTCAACCCAAAAATTTGGTCAATGTAATCCAAAGATTTAATCCATATCCCCCCCCCCCGAAAAAAAACCGAACTAAAACATAAAAACCGCACTTTTATGGTACTTTTGTTCCACCTTTCAAATAAAGCAGAATGTGGGTTACCTTCCCTTATTGTGCAAAGTAAGTTCATCATTTTAGCCCCCCCCCCTTTATGTTATTGTGTGCTCTACTTTCCATGTTAGTACAATATGATGGTTACTTGCAGTGGTGAGACGTGAATGATCGATCATCGATATTTCCCCATTTGAAGCTTTGATAAAGAATCGATTATTAAATTGTTCGTCCTAAACACCCTGTTTTTCGATCCTTTTCAATTGGTTCAATTGGGAGATCAATCGATTTATCGCAAAGCACGCCACGCCACTGGTTTTCTCTAACTGCGAAGACGTATCTCTCACGAGTGTCCTCAATTGGCGAGTTGTTAAAATCAGATATTCATCGATGAATGAAAACCATTTTTCCGCGATGATTTTCCGGCGAGAAAATCGCGACGCCGGCAGCGGCAGCAGCGACGTATGAGACGCGACACACACCGACGCGACCGGAGCATGTGTGAGTGATGCGTGTATCCGCGCGAGCGTGTGTGGGTATGTGGGTGGGAGTTGAGTGTGGTGTAGCGGGAGAATTAATTCTGTTACTAAGTTGCCGGATAAAGTGCGCGAGAGGTGAAGGGGTCGGGCGAAACATTATGATTCATATGGGGGTTGATAATGTGAGAACGGCGCGGCGTGTTTTTGATGGGGTAGCGACCGAGGACTGACATACCACTCGCGGAGCCATGACTTACGATATCAATTTGTTACCCCGGCTAAGGATGAGGGGATCGACAAATTCTTCTTTGTTTAAAACTGGGTTTTAATGTAACACCTCACCTATCACTTTAGCATCCCTCTCCGCCCCTCCGTCCCCCCTCCCGCCCTTTCGCACCCTCCGGCCCATCACGCCTCGGTCTGCCGCCGCTCGGCGCTTAAACCCTCTCTTCATCATCTTCAACGTTTAATCTGATCAATTTTTTAAGAATCAATTACACCTCTCACCTCCTAATCTTATTTTAGCCCCATTTTTTTACTCTCCGCTTGCGCTCGGTACCGGCGGAGTTGCTTCTACGTACAATTTTTTTTATAAAAAATAGAATATGTTTCATCATTCTACACGTGTGCGATAAATTTATTTCTCGAAAGCGCATTGGACAGACAAAAAATAGACTGCATTTTGTAACATGGAACAGCGGGGTAATTGTTGAATTGATAGACAACTCTATAGACAAAGAAGACAAACAGGATTTGGAGGGCT